AGAACCTCAGAAGAGCCCTGCTGGATCAGACCAGGGAGGGTCCATCTAGTCCAGCCTCCTGTCTCACACAGTGGCCAACCAGTTCCTCTGGAGGGCCAACAACAGGGCAGAGAGGCCGAGGCCTTCCCCTGATGTTGCCTCCTGGCTCTGGGATTCAGAGGATTAGTGCCTCTGAATGTGGAGGTTCCCTTTAGTCACTGTGGCTAGTAGCCATTGATAGACATCTCCTCCATGCATCTATCTAGTCCCCTTTAAAGCAGTTTATTCCTGTGGCCATCAGTACATCCCCTGGCAGCAAATTCTAAATTTGAATAACAAAGGAAGGGACACAATGTCCCTCTTTTCCAGCCAGATCTCTTGCTTTTTGAAGCGTTCAGTGAAAGCGGGTTGCTTTCAGAAGTGCTGGGCCCTCAGCTAACCTGATTTACAATCTCTGATTTGGCGGGGGTGGGGGGGAATGGCTGTTTTGTTTTGCAGCTGAAGATAGCCTCACAGTCAACACCACCAGCCGCTGCCCTGTATTTCTGCAAGGGCTTACCGAGAAAAGACGGCAAAAATTAAAACCGCTGCGGTTGCAACATCTTTATATAAATCTACGACGCAGCCTCATTCGGAACCCTGTGTGCTGTTCGGGTTACTGGATCTCAAAAAAGGATAATGCGGAAGCAGCACAAGTGAAGAGAGAGAAGAAGAGATTGGATTTATACCCCACCCCTCTCTCGGAATCTCAGAACAGCTTACAATCTCCTTTCCCTTCCCCTCTCCACCACAGACATTGTGTGAAGTAGGTGGGGATGCGAGAGCTCTTTTGAGGACTGCTCCTGAGAGAACACCTCTGAGAGAACTTGTGACTGACCCAAGGTCACACCAGCTGACTTCATGGGGAGGGGTGGGGAAATCAAACCTGGTTCTCCCATATTGGAATCCAAACTCCTAACTACTTCACCAAACTGACTCTCAAAGATGATAGGGGAATGGCAGAGAAGCTGAATGCATCTGTTGCCTATGTCTTCACTGCGGAAGATGGGAGGTGGTTGTTCACTCCAGGATTAATGATTTCGGGGGGGTGTCGAAAGACCTGAGTTGAATTGAGGTTGACGAGAGAGGACGTCCTACGACTGATGGGCAAATTAAAAACTGACAGATCCCCACGTCCAAATGGCATACAGCCAAGAGTTCTGAAAGACCTCAGACGTGCACTTGTGGATCTCCTGGCAAAAATATGCCATCTGTCACTAAAAATCTGCCTCCATTCTCGAGGACTGGAAGGTAAGTAATGTAACCCCCCCCCATCTTTAAAAAAGGTTCCAGAGGAGATCTGGGAAATTACAGGCTGGTCAGTTTAACATTATTACCGGGTAAACTGGTGGAATCTGTTATAAAAAAACAGAATTAGTGAGCACATTGAGGAACAAAGGCTACTGAAGAAGAATCGTGTTGAATATAAATATCATAAAGGAATAGAAAAGGTTCTTATACAAACACCAACAAATTAAACATTACACCAGTCCATTCCAACATAGAAAATACAAAGAAATCCTATAGTAGAAAAAGCCTTACATAAGATCATAAGAGAAGCCAATGCTGGATCAGGCCAATGGCCCATCCAGTCCAACACTCTGTCACACAGTGGCCAAAAATACCAGGTGCCCTCAGGAGGTCCACCAGTGGGGCCAGGACACTAGAAGCCCTCCCACTGCTGCCCCCCCAAAGCACCAAGAATACAGAGCATCACTTGCCCCAGACACAAGAGTTCCTATCTATACCTTGTGGCTAAGAGCCACTGATGGACCTCTGCCTCCATAGGCTTATCCAATTCCCTCTTGAAGCCGTCCATGCTTGTAGCCACCACCACCTCCTGTGGCAGTAAATTCTATGGGTTCATCACTCTTTGGGTGAAGTGCGGACAAGAAGGCACGTACCTACATTGCTGGTGGGATTGTCCACAAATTAAACATTTCTGGAAAGAAGTAACGGCCAAAATTAAGGAGATAACATCCCAGGAAATCACTTTTAAACCGGAAGTTATACTCCTACATAAACGGGATGATTCGATAGTAGACAACACTAGGGAGACTATTTCGACATTACTAGCGACAGCCAAATTGACGATAGCCACGGGATGGAAATCACCAACCCCACCCTCTTTGGCAGGGTGGCATGATAAGCTATGGCAGCAGTTTGTTATGGCTAAAATCACGGATTCGGTACAAAGAACACAACAGACAAGTACAGCTCCGCGTATGAGATATATTAGAACATGGTCACCAATACTGAATTATATGGCAAGGGGAGGTATACTCCCAAGTAACATTGCATACCATGAGTGGTTACACTTGTGAGACATACTAAACAATCGGATATATGAATAGGTTCACACTCTGCACCCATACTCAAAGCATATATTACTTCGACTATAAATACTAATGTACGGAGGGGAACATAGTGTCATTTGATAACCATAGGTAGTACTGTATTGAGTAATGTTAAACGAATTATATATGATGTGTTTATAAACTGTTCTTAATATACCAATAAAAATATTTAAAAAAGAAAGAAAAAAAAGAAGGACTTCCTTTTATCTGTTCTAACCCGACTGCTCAGCAATTTCATGGAGTGCCCACGAGTTCTTGTCTTGCGAGAAAGGGAGAAAAGTACTTCTTTCTCTACCTGCTAAGGTCTGAAATACTCTAGAAGATTCCATAAGGTATGAAATACTCTCAAAGACTGTATCTTTCTGTATCCTTTATCGATAACCCATTGGGTTGGATCCTTACTCATCATATGCTCCATCACCCTAATATAGATGGGATGAACTTCCTTACTACAGAAAAATACAGTCTTGGAGAATATTTCATACCTTATGGAAAAGTTTCTTCTGCTATAGGATTTCTTTGTATTGTCTACGTTGGGAAGGACACTTTCGATGTTTAATTTGTCGGTATTTGCTATTTCTTTACGATATATTCAACACGATAAAATATACTTAGGTTTTTCATATATATGTTTATTCATTATAATATAGTTCTGTACACAGTATGCCTTTCTTTTCTTTTTCTTTATTTTTTTAATTTTTATTTATTTTTTATTTATCTTTAGATTTGTATCCCGCCCTACCCCAGAGGTACTTCCCACACCTGTGGCCGACAGTGTCCCTAATTTGTATAACTGAAGAAGAACCAGCTTGGATTCTGTAAGGGAAGATCTGGTCTAACATTTTAGAACAAAATTCGAGTCCAGTGGAACCTTTAGTTGCTATTAGTCCTGGCCCCACTGCTGGACCTCCTGGTATTTTTGGCCACTGTGTGACACAGAGTGTTGGACCGGATGGGCCATTGGCCTGATCCAACATGGCTTCTCATGTTCTTACAAGGTATAAATGGAATTCACCACTGCAGGAAGTGGCGGCGGCTACAAGCATAGACAGCTTCAAGAAGGAATTGGATAAACACATGGAGCAGAGGTCCATCAGTGGCTATTAGCAGCAAGGTATGGATGGACCACTATGTTTGGAGCAGTGATGCTCTGTCTTCTTGGTGCTTGGAGGGGGCCACAGTGGGAGGGCTCCTGGAGTTGTGGCCCCACTGGTAGACCTCCTGATGGTACCTGGGTTTTGGCCACTGTGTGACACAGCATGGTGGACTGGATGGGCCACTGGCCCGAACCGGCATGGCTTCTCTTCTGTTCTTATGTCTGGGGCAGTGACGCTTTGTATTCTTGGTGCTTGGGGGGCAGCGGTGGGAGGGCTTCTGGAGTTCTGGCCCTGCTGGTGGACCTCCTGATGGCCCCTGGGTTTGGGCCGCTGTGTGACACAGAGCGTGGCCTGGATGGGCCACTGGTCTGACCCAACATGGCTTCTCTTTTGCTCTAATT